CCCCCCCCCCAAACTACTACTCTTGTCCTCATGGGCTCTAGGAGGTGCGTGGGAGAATCTGGAGATTGTTTCTTAAAAGTCTCATAGGTTATTTTGATTTGCAGCTTCTTCTTCAGCATAAGAACTTTGTACTGTGTATAGTTGCAAACCTCTAAATGGGTAGAGTAATTTTTTTAAGCTAAACTCAAACATTTCCAACTATGTCTTCAAATCTTTGTGGCTCAGGGATCTCACTTAAAGTATGCTGGTTCATTCTGTAGTAACCATTTTTCCCCCACATTGGATAATTGCATTAATCATTAATACAATTTTTATTCAATGATAGTCTGCAACTGAAGAACATCTTTAGAGTAAGACTTTAAGAAAAATTATCTTAAGACTCTAAACTTGAAAACTTACGAACTTCCGAGAATATATACTCAACTAGAAGTCAGATTTACAGAACAACAAACTATGGTGATTAGTTCCATGATCACTCAGTCTATTCCCAGTTTGCTAATGTGATTGCATACTGGATGAATTTGTTGTTTTCTTCCCAGTTTCATGACTTTTCATTCTGACAATAAAGGAGTTTTAATTTTTTAAATTATAAATGGAATGTTAGAATTTTAATGAAATTTAGAGATTATCTAATGCAAACTCTCAATTAATAGATTATATAAACTGAAGCTTAGAAAATTTGACACAAAGTCACTCAGTAAATGGGACATTTACCTTCTTGGCATTTGAAAGCTGAGCTGTGTGAACGTTGAAGATACAGTGTGTAACATAGTTTCATTCATTCATTCATTCAACCAGTATTGACTGAGTGTCTGCTGTGTTCTAGAATCTAGACCCTGGTGATCTTGAAATAAACAAGGCAAAGTCCTTATCTTGTTGATTTCTCTTTAGTGAGAAGGAAATGCATTAAACAAGAAAAAAATTTTATGGTGAACACACAATACAATATACAGATGATGTGTTATAGAATTGTACTTGAAACCTATATAATTAACCAATGTAACCCCAATAAATTCAACAAAAATAAATGAAGGAGAAAATTCAGATGTTGATGGAATTATAGAAATAATAAAGCAGGTTAAGGGAAGAAAGATGTTTAAGATTGTGTGGGGTGGCTTTTTTATATAGCATAGTGAATGAAGGCATCTATCTCTAAGAAAGTGAGGAGGGTAGACCATGCAAAGATAAGGAAAACAGCCTTTGAGGCAGAAGAACAGCAAATACAAAGGCAATGGGGTTGGAGTACTCCTTAGATTATATAAATTTAGGAGAATTCTTATTAGAGTTTAAGTTAATAAAATTAAATTCATTAATTCCAAAAGTTTTTGTGAATTTCTCAAGACAAGTGAAGGAAATATTCTCCATATAGGAAAATAACTACTTTTTCTTTACATTTTTTAGATGTTGCTAAACTTGCATAAGAAGAGTTGGATGGAAGGTTTGACACTTCAGGACTACAGTGAACACTGTAAACACAATGAATCAGTGGTAAAAGAGATGTTGGAATTAGCCAAAAATTACAATAAGGTAAAAGTTACTTCCAATATGTATTTCTTACAATCATTGGAATATGTATGGTTAGATGTCAAGCATTGTATAGATATAATTAGTTAAAATAGAGTGGCCTACTTTGTAGATCAGATAGTAAATATTTTAGGCTTTGTAGCCATCCAGTCGGTCACAACTACTCAGCTTCATGAAGGAATGAGTGGGGCTATGTTCTAGTAAAACTTTACACACCAAACCAGGCAGCTGGCTAGATTTCGCCCATGGGCAATAGTTTGCCAACCCCTTCTGCGGATCTGTTAAAATACTTTTACATTGGATGTATCTTCATTATTCAGAGGACTTTTTTGTTGAAAGGAAAGGGGAACAAGGAGATATTAGATTTTAGTACTTGCTACATTAAATTTATTTTATGAACTTGTCTGGTTTTATATTTAATGAGTATTTATTGAAAACCTTTTATGTCAGGCATTGGGGATATGGTAAGACGCAAGGCCTGTCCTCACAGAACTTATTTTCTGGAAGGGAAAAAAGAAAGTAAACAAGTAAATGCAGCATAACTTGTGATTAGTGCTGCGAAGAAAATAAACAGGTTGATGTAAAGAAGAGTAACTAGGGGAGACCACTTTATATGAATACGTTAAAAAAGTTATATTTTGCAGAATCTCCTGAAAATGTTTATTGTATGCTAAATGTATGCAGCCATGATAATGTTTTCGTTCATAGTTTTATGTTTTTTTACAATTTTGAAATTAAGAAAATGCTTGAGATATGACTAAAATGTATCTTCTACGTTGTGTTAGTTTCCTAGTGCTGTCATAATAAACTACCATCAACCGGGTGTCTTAAAACAATGAATTTATTCCCTCACAATTCTGGAGGCTAGAAGTCCAAAGTCAAGGTCTTGGCAGGGCCGTGCTCCCTCTGAAGCCTCTAGGGGAGGATCCTTGCTCTCTTTTTCAGCTTCTGTTAGTCCCAGTCTTTGGCTTGGGATAGCATAACTCCAATCTCTAGAGTTAGGATTTCAGCATATCTTTTTTTGGCGAGTGATTCAATCTGTAACATGTATTTTCAACTTTTTGACCAAAGCCACATAAAAGAATAGGTTTTAAATTTTGACCCAGTACAATGCAAATGTGTGTGTGTGTGTGTGTATACATATATATATATATCCATATATAATTGCAACAAAAGTTTTATGAAACAATATTTATCCTTATGTGATATATTCTATTTTCTTTTTCATTTGACTCAATTTCATTGTTTCGATTATATGTATAAGTATTATACACAAATACACATAGCTTACAACCCATTAAAATGTGCTGAAAATCTAGAATTTATAAAACATATATATTTATATACATTATGCCATGCTATATTTACAAATATTTATTGAATATCTCTGTGCAAGTTGCAATGGAAAGCAGGGTTTCTTCCTTCATTTATAGGAACACAAAGGCAGTAAGACAAGGTGTAACCAGAGTACTACAGAGTACTAGGTCAAAATTGGTGTATTCCATAATACCTTAGTATTCAAATTGTTCACAGGCTAGCTGCATCAGTATCACCTGGGCTCTTCTTAGAAATGCAGACTGTCATACCTACTGAATCACAATCTACATTTTAACAAGATTTCTAGAAGATTTGTAGACTCATTCAAGCTATAAGTTAGAGAACACTGCCATAGAGGAGTTCATGTGAAATACTGTAGAAGTTCAGAGGCTTGTGTGTTCAGTTGTGGAAGACCCAAGAGACTGTCTTAGAGAATAACAACATTTGAACTAGATGTTAAAGCATAAATAATACTTAAACATACAGAAATATGTTACCCTAGGCAAAAATGAACATCACCAGCAAAGACTGGGAGAGACAGAAAAGACAAGGATGTGTTTTAGAAACTGTTTGACTAGAGTACATAATGCATGAGGAGTGACAGTGGGGAGTAAAGTTTTTTTAAAGTTATTGAAGTCAAGTTATAGGGTTTAGAATATCAGGATAGAGTTATTTTTCTGGTGCATGCTATACCCAGACCTGACTTTAGAAACGTAAGAACCAGACTTTAGAAGCATAATTTGACAGTGGTTTAGAAGGAGTGCTGTAATGGAGAGTCTGTTTAGGAGGAGCTTGCTATTACCCAGACAGAAGGGAGTGAGTGTCTGGATTATCATAGTGGCAGTGGGAACAGAGGCATCACTAGACGAATAAAACTGGCACCTGTTGGGTAGATGAAGTAAAAGAAGGAGGAGGAACCAAAGATGAATTCAAGATTTCCTGCCTGGATGACTAGACATAAGGTGGTACTATTAATATTTTCAGTTTAGGTAAAAGTGAAAGGATTGAAGAAGGAGATAAAGAGTTCCATTTTAAACAAGCAGTTAGAAATATGGGACTACAAATTAATGATGAGGGGTAGAGATTATGAGCTTGGAGACAGTTAAAGTTGATATCGGGCCTTGACCGGTGTGGCTCAGTTGGTTGAACATCATTCCCTGCACCCATAGGCGCCTGGTTCTTTTCCAGGTCAGGAAACATGCCCAGGTTGTGGGCTAGTAGGGGGTGTGCAGGAGGTAGCTGATGCATGTTTCTTTAAGCCCCTCCTCCTTTCTCCCCCTTTCTCCTCACTTCTCCCTTCCTCGCTCTCTAAAAATCAATAAAAACATATTTTTAAAACAACTGATACTGATTATCACACCAAAATAATATTTCTTCTTTTTTAAACATGTCTTACCAAAATAAATATTAACCAAGACACAGTGTATAAAATTGGCCAAGTATAGCAATGTCTTTTGAGAGAATGGAGCTTTGAAAAAAGTTGCTGGGCCCATACAAACTAAATTTCAGCAGAATTAGGTTGGCTTTTGAAGAGCATGCCCTGATTTATGTGTAGTGTTCAAGCTGGAAATCTCCTTTGATTCTAGATTGTAAGGAAAATATTTTTTATCTTCCTAGTATATGTTTTAATGCTGTGAACAATAAAGAGAAAGAGTAGTTTATCATACTTGAAACAGTTAACCTTTTATAAATTAAAAAGTTATGACAAATTGTTATTCAGCAGACTGTAGGGATGTTTTTAATTTCTTTGCAACATTACAAGTAAATTCATATTGGTACCACTGCCAGGAAATAACCTATTTATGGTTACTGCTGCCCATCCACAGAAGTTTTTGCTATTTTACAGTTTTAAAAAATCTCTGTAGTACTTAAAAACTTGTAAGGTTTGGTTATAAAATGAAAACAATGTGTAAGCTGTGATATGAAGGAGTCCAAATTTGGAAATGTAATTCCCTCTGTGATTGAAAGAATGTGGTGGAGTTTTTAGTAACACTTAAAATATAAAAAGAAAGGCCCATGCTACCCATTTTTCTTAGTATTCTTTTTAATTGGTTGGTATCTTAAATTAAGGTAATTATTGTTGGGTGCCCGTTAGCTCCTAAAGTAAAAGATGGTTAGAAAATAATTAAATTTCTTTGTTCTGCCTTTTCAATTTTAAGTCTGAATTCCACACAAAGATTCTGCTTAATTATTAGTCATGGATTTCTCTAATTACTGAACTTCAACACCCACCACTGTTATTCCAAATTTACTAATTTATTCATGCCAGGTGCATCAATTTTTAATTGATATTTGATTGGATATTTATAAATGAATGTGCAAGTGAAAAAATGAATGATATAAGAGCATTTTTAAGAATAGCATAGACATAAAAATTTGCAATGTTTTTAAACATGTAGCCCTATAAATTCTGAGTTCTGGCAGTTTACTTTTCAGGTAGAAATATTGCCTACTTCGAACCTGAAAGGAACTTTGGGTATATCTTTAATGTAATTATATATAAAATATGTAATTATATGATTATATTTGATTTATTATAGTAGCTATATTAAATATGAAAAAAATTTATGCTGTAAGATTAGAAAAACAAAATAAGATATAAGTATTGGGAAAATCAGGTCAGTTATCATTATTTAAGTTTGATAGGATATGTTTTCAGTCAAACAGAAATCCAAGAGACTAAACTAGAAAACTGTTAGAATTATTATAATCAAGAATTATATAGCTGGTAACCATGCAAATGATGGTATCAAAAAATTGCATATCTAAAGAATTCTTGTAAAATAATTTTAAAAAACAGTAATAAATTGGGCAAAAGAGCTAGGAAACTCTCTGAAGACAAGTGGCATGTAAACATGAAAAAAAAAGTTCAACCTTATTAAGTAGTCAAAGAAAAACATTACAATTATAGAAAATTTAAAATTAAAAAAAAAAAAAATGTTTGGAAAAATGCACCACTGGTAGGAAAGTAAAAGTGATATAACCTTTTTGGAGGCCATCTTCCAGTTTTGTCTTTCAATTTTAAATACATATAACTCTTTAAACCAACATGTTCTCTTTTGGTTCTCTTTTAAGGGTTTATTATGAAGAATAAAAAACTACAAATACCAACTGAGAGAAATATTGCTGTTATGAGTAAAAAATTAAATTGTATAACAATATTGAAAGTCCCTATTATGTTANTGCAACCTGCTGTTATGAGTAAAAAATTAAATTGTATAACAATATTGAAAGTCCCTATTATGTTACCTTCCCTTCCTATTTTTAACATATTATGTTGTTAACAGTGTCACCTCTCAGGTGCAAAGTAGGGGAATTATATATACTTTATGTAAATCCTGAATTATTTTCAGTTTTTTGCACTAAGCAAGTGTTACTTATACCTAAGATTGTCACAGTGGCTTAAACAAAGTAGAAATGTATGTCTTTTGCAATTCAAGGCCAGTATCAAAGTTTGAAGTCATCACAGACCCAGAATTCTTCTGTCTTTTGCTCCACTTTCCTTATATTGGGTTCCATCCTTTAGATCTCATGATTTCAGAGTGATTGCTATGGCTTTAGCCATCCCATCTGAGTTCTAGGCAGTAGGAAAAAAAGAAAGGGCAAAGAGGGATGTCTCCCAGCTAAGTCAGCTCCCTTTCAGAATCTTTTCCATAAGTCCCACCCAACACACACACACACATGTGCATACTCACATACACATAGGATCTTTATTTTATATCCCTATTTCATGTAATTACATTTTAAAATTGGATTGCCTATATGATTTTTAGAAAGAATTTATGTTGATCAAGGCCACTTAATAAATCATAGATTTGGCTTTATTATTATTCAGGATGTGTCTTTTAAAAGTAGTAATTTCATGAATTACTGTGAATGTTGCTTTAGTCTCTGAAGACTGATAGGACTGTGTTTAAGTCACAATTTCATCACTTATTTGCTCTATGGTTATATGTGTCCCCATCATTCTTTGTGCACACTCCTTTTCTATATATTTCACATTGCATTCACCAATTTGAGATTCACCAGGCAAGTGAAGCCCAAATGTGAGCTCCTTGGAGAGTATGAACTGTCTTACTTAGAGTACTTAATAGTGATTCTTGAATGTGTAAAATGATAAAAATTCCACTGTTGAGGACATGCATAGTGTATACTGGAGTGTTACAGCTTTTCCAAAAAGAGAGTTGGAAAAAAAATGTTATAGTATAACTACTACTGGAATTAACATAAGATTATTCCAATAAGATAGTGCCTAATATCTTTGTATATAAAATGTAAATTAACTACTTCACTGGGGTGTTTTAAGGATTCAGTAAGTTATTATTTATAAAGCATATGTATGCTAATATTTAATTCCTTATGGTTGTGGGAAAACCAGTTTTATTGTTTTCTGTACTCATACCTCTTACACTTTCTTGGATAGTTTTTTGATTATTTTATGATTGTTAATTTTATTTTCCCAAGTATGTTTTATAAAAACCATTTTTGAAACTTATTCTCTACTCCCAAACCCTCACTGTGATTTTCAGTTAATAGCCAGTATATTGACTTGATATAAAAATCAAGAAAGAAGTAAAATACATTATTGTGAAGTCCACTAGCAATTATGCAGAGATGGTTTAATACTGAAAAATACTATATAGGTGATTTTAGAAAGTGTGTACTTTAAGTGGGATTTCGGCATGTTAGAGAATAAACAGACTTAACATGTCAAGGGGAAAAAAGAAGCCCAAGGAATAGTTGGAGAAATATGAACTGGAATAAGAAACATACATGGTGTAATAAAAGCAGAGGTTAAAGAAAGGAGAAGAGAAAACATGTATTGGACTCTGAGATGTTCAGAAAATTGAAAACTGAGTCCACTGGAACGCACCTGGTAGACATTCTTAAAAGACTGTTAATGAAGTACCAAGGATATGAATCCATGTTTGTTAAAGGGTAAATAAATGGTAGAATTTGAGATACAGGTTTTCCACTTGAGAAGTGTGACCATTACCAGAAAAAAAAGAGAATGAGATTAATTAGTTTAGTAAAAGCCTCTTTGAGATCGGGGGTATGTCTGAGGGGATTGTGATAACATAACAGACCAAATTCCAGGAATTTCTTAGAACTGTGCAGACCGTGCATGATGGGATAGCCATCTGGGGGTCTTTGTTGATAAACTGTTAAAAACGTTTCTAGTGTGAATAGCCACAAACATTTTCAGTGCTTTTTTGTTGGTTGAGTAAACCGAAGAGCACGAATGCAAAAGCAAAATTTGATGCCAAATCACAGAAGTTGCCATAAACACAGAAGTTCCCCTAGTGAGGACACTGCCTGTGCCTGAATTTCATTTGTTTCTGCTGCTACCATTTCTCAATTTTTCCTGGTGACTCGCCAGATTAGAGTTATGAATGAAGATAAACTGGTCTTGCCCAGATGGTAGGTGAGATTTAGGTAACTTAGGTAGGTGGAGAGAATATTTTAGGGGGTTGATGTGGTGATCTGGTCTATCTTAAAATGTAAGAGATGTGCTTACTCTTTTGTCATGGGGGTTTGCAACCTTAGTATATGCCTAAATCTACAGCTGCTCCTCATTTTCCAGATGGCATCTATGGCTGGGAGTACTTTTTACCATCTGCACTTCTCAAAGAGTTTGTGAACTCTCTATTTTAATTATTGGAAATGGAAAAACTAATTGGTAAAGTTGTTATATGATGTAAAAGATTTTTAAAATTGAGTTTTTACATTCTACTTAAGCTTTCATAAAAGGCCAGTGCTTTAAATGACTTTTGACTTTCATCTTTGCATAACTGCCATCTTTGATATTTGCAATACTCCATACTAACTATTTTGTGCATGAATTGGTATTTTGAGCCAAATTCCAAAACTCTTACCTCCTTCCAATATTGTAAAGTACTGTTGTTGGCATGTGCATAGAACAGCTAACACTGAATGGATATAGAGTACAAACTTAAGTGGATTGTTCCATTCATCTAATATGTTTTCAGGTCAGTAAGATATAGTGTCATAATTTGTAAAAGTAATTGAGAAGGACAAACTATGTAAAACATTGAGATAGTGAGAGAAGCAATTTCCCAGTTAGGAAATACTTTTTTAACTAGCTGAGAATAATATGAGTGACATCTGACTCTTAAAATGAACATATTCTCTGTCTAGGGAATTCTGGATTTGGAGTGTTATTAACTTTATTTTTCCTTTTTGCAGTTTTATGAGTCATAAGTCTATTTCCTAATGATGTGTTGTAAATAAGTATACTGTAATCAGTAGATACAATACTTATTCACCATCTCTTCTTTTAGGCAGGTTCTACTAGGGAAATTCTCTAGATAGTTTGTCCATTTATAAAATTAGACACTTGCCATCTTTGCTCATTTTCAAGTTCTCTGTTTACAAAACTATTAAGAAGGTGTGAAATGCAGCCAAACTTCCCAGTTTATGGGAAATGTCTGATGATTGCATTTCCTACATGTTCATTGTTCACACATGAAGAAATTTGGCAGCTGCAAGATTATTAAGTTAGAGTATCCAAATCTAACCCTCACTGGGACTTTTGGTTTCCTGCTTTCTGCTGCTACCATCTCATCCTCTTTTGTAACCATGTTTGAGGTAAGTGCTGTGGTATTCTTTCTTAAGGCCAGTGATCTTGAATGTTCTTTGTTCCCCATTTATTGGATGCTATGAATAAATCATAGACCTGGAGTTCCCCTGATGCACTTCTTACCCTCCAGTGTAGCAATCCTTCAAAGAATTCCAGAACAGTTTCCAAATGGTTAACTGGTGGTGCAGTTTGGTATTTTCAGTGCCATTTACCTATTTCTTGAAGTCTGTTTTCAACATGATGGTGGTAATAATTTTCATTAGCCTGAAGGATATTCTGAAGATTAGTAAAATTGCTTTTTTGTTCAATAAATTTCTTTAATGAAAGATTCTGTGAATGAAAATTATGGTAGCCATTACCTTTGGTGACTGTTCTGCAGTGAGAAAAGTAAAGTTAGGGTTTGAAACTGTCCTTTGTGTTTCGTTCGCAGGCTGTAGAAGAGGAAGATAAGATGACGCCTGAACAGCTGGCAATAAAGAACGTTGGCAAGCAGGTGAGGGGTGCTGAATGGGCTGTGCAGTCGCGTAACAAGAAGCTCTTACAGAGTGAACACTATTTTAGGGCCTGCATGACTTCCCCCTACCTGTTCATTCTACATTTCTCTTCTGTCGTGTAAATGTGATGCTAGTTTTAAAGGTCACTGAGTTATTTGATGTCCTATTCTCTGCCATCTAAAGAGAAGTAAATCACAAATATACCTGTGAGATCTTTAGTGAAAATAACTTACTAGAAATAAATTAGGAACTTGTGTCCTGAGTTAATTTTTTAAGTATTATTTTTACTTGAAATAGTATTAACAGGGAAGATAATAGAATGGTAGATTTATTTCATATGTAAGTTTTTTAATGATATATTTAGCAATATGTAGGTAATGTTCCTGAGGAAGCGTAGAGCCCTGTTGGGTTATACTGAGTGAAGAGAAAGGGTTTTAAGTACTTGCTCTTTCACTTTTCCAAGATGAAATATATATTTTAGTTCCTGTTTTCTGAGGGTGGGGGGAGCACACCAACCAATTAAAAGAATCTACAGATTAATTAGACTGTTTTTTAAAGAATGTTGATTACATTTTTTCATTTCATGGAACATGGTTATCATATTGCTGATGTTGGCAGAATCTTGATATTTCAGATGCAAGACACTAAGCTGTCTTTGCTTTCAGCCATCCTACCATATGCTCTGATCCCATCACATCTCACAAGCTATGTAGGTTTGGGCCAGGACCATTCTTGGATGGGAAATCTCTAAGAATCACCCAGCTGCCACAAGAAGTAATGTAGATAACTGAGGGAAGTGTGTTACCAATTCACTACAAAACCAGTTACTCCAATAGAGCAGTAGGGGCAAAGGTCTGACAAAAATATCACAATTGGTAAAATCAAATCTTACTTCATTCTACATAATATAATTTAAAAACAACAAGAACCTTCCCAAACCAAAATGAAATATAGTTCATCTTATTTTCTCATACTGTGGGATATAGTTACCCCTGTTGTCTTTTGTCACTACTTATTTTCATCTAATATGTAATATTAGATCACTAACTTGGAGCCTTGTACTGTATAAAATTCAGTAACTATTTTTTTAATAAATGACTCTGAAGCTATAGTTTCTTTTTTTTTAAATGTATCTTTATGGATTTCAGAGAGAGGGAGAGAGAGAGATAGAAACATCAGTGATGAGAGAGTCGACATTGATCGGCTGCCTCCTACACTCCCCCGACCAGGGATTGAGCCTACAACCTGGGCACACATCCCGACCAGGAATCAAACGGCAATCTCCTGGATCCTAGGTCAATGCTCAACCACTGAGCCACTCCCGGCTGGGCTGAAGCTATAGTTTCTTGATGTGTAGGTTTTATATAACAATTAGCAATAAATAAAAGGACTGAATTAAAATAAAAATGAAACTGAAAAATGTATAATTGGCAAAGTGTAATGATCATTAGAATCATTTTTTAAATGTAGTACTTCACTGGTTTGGCTTATTGCACAGCAAAAGCAGAACTGTCTATATTGGAATTAGACCAATAATTGTCTTCTCCTGCCAGTCTTTCTCAGTCTCTTTCACCTAAAATGCCCTAGGTCTTATTTCTGAAATAAAGAAAATTTAATATTGTGGTCTAGTTACTTGAGATTATTTGTAGCATGTTGTATGTATCTCTGGGTTGTTTAAAGAAATCAAGTACACTGAAATTGTAGTTTAGAAGAGAACAGCCAAGAAATAATTCCAGTGATGAACATTTGTTTAAAGTTAGAAATCTTGGGTATTTTAGCAATACTCACAAGAAAATAATGATTTAATTGGAAGTTTTTGATTGTGTGCAGTATATATCCTTTATCTCAAAGCTTTCAAATTTAGCTGAAGTACTTCATTCAGCTCAGCATTAAACATAAATATAAATTAAGATTTTAATTTAACTTCTTTTACTAAAATACAGTTTTTCAGGCTTTTATACATATATATTTTATTGGTTTTTAGAGAGAGAGGGAGGGAGAGAGAGAGAGGGAAACATTGATTGGCTGCCTCCTGCACACCCCTGAATGGGGATCAAGCCTGCAACCCAGGCATGCGCCCTGACTGGGACTCGAATGGCAACCCCTCAGTGCCCAAGAATGCCTGGCCAATTTTAAGCCCTTTTAAACTCAGACATTTCAAATATAGATTTGATGATGTTAAACTTAAAGGATCGTACCTATATACTTTTCTCTGATACATTTTTTTTTAAATAGCTGCATGAAAGATTTATTCTTAACATTTTAGAATTGACCCAAATTGTATTTAGAATTTTAAAATTCTAACAGTGGCTTTTGACCCAAGAATATTTCCTGAATCATTGAAAGCACTGTTCCTGAAATATTAAAATTATAAATTAAAATTTTAAAGGAAGTGATGAGAATTTGCATTGAACTCTTACCTATTTGACATGTCTGCTTTGAGTAAAGTACCTCTCCGACATTCAATATATGTGAATGGCAGAAAATATACAAACATACTCGGGCTTAATACACACCTATAAATGCTTATAGCTTTTTAATAGATGATTGCAGGTTGTGTAGAATTTTGTTACTCTTTATATAAATTTTGGTAGAGTCATGGCATTTATTCAGTCTTTCATTGTGTAGTCTATTATTTTATCAGTTAAATTTTTGACAGATATAGAAATCCTAAAAATGTAACAGTATATAGGGAAAATTAATATATATAAATTTAGGTTTGGCTTTGTTGACTGATTTCATCAGCTACTGGAAAAAAAAAACACCACACTAATTTGTCTACCAGTAATATGGTTCTTTCTCTTTCCTTATTTTTTTCTTTTAGGACCCCAAACGTCATTTGGAGGAACATGTGGATGTACTTATGACTTCAAATATTGTCCAGTGTTTAGCAGCTATGTTGGATACTGTCGTATTTAAATAAAGCAATGCAGAAAGCTTTTAGTGATACTTTCAGTGTATATTACTCTATTGTTCCTAATGCTCCAAATCAAGGGACCTCTGAAGGTGTATTTGGTTAAATGTAAGACATCTGGCATCATTTGCAGCACTGTAACACCTTCAGTCTCAGTTGTGCAATTACTTCTGTTTCTTTAGTCAGGGTCGTTGCAGATTCCAAAGTTGTATAAGAATACATCAAAGTGGACAAATTTTGTTAAGATCCCATTTAATATTTGAAGAAATCAGTAACACAAATATATTTTGATTGTTGCTTACAAAATAAAGTACATTTACAATCTATGTCTCCTGAGGTCTTTTTGGCACTGGGTGGAATTGACAGAGTAACATTTGACAGTTCTTTAGAAATCTCACACTAAGATATGTTTCCCTGTACATTTTAAGATTTTATAACACATAAAACATCAATGTGATAATAAAACTTCACAAATGTAAAATGATTGCCATTAATGAGTGGCCACCTCATTAGTGGGTAATGCAGAAAAATGCTGACATATTTCATTTAAGGCATTTGTCACAGGTTAATATTATGTACACAATGTATCTTGTTAACATACCTTCAGGATTTCAGAAGAGTGCATTGAAGAAGGCGGCAGTTTTGATGTAGACTTTATCAGAAGAGTACACTCCACCAATAGCGTTAAGATTGTGTGGGAATTGCCTGCTTCAAACTCCACTAGGCTTTCAGCTAAGACAGCCACAGAAGGTATGCTGTATATCTTCAAAAATGAGAAAAGTAGCCATAATGTGAGTTTAATATAATGAACACATAGCAATGATTTTGTTATTGTTTTCTCTCATCTTTCTCAAATTAACTTAGTTTTCTGATAAAGACAAAAATTTGACTAATGGCAGTTTTTGTAGATGATCTCATCCCACAACCTGATGTACATAAGTTTAGTCCCCATTAATGCTTACTCATAATACAGCATTGTGCTGGGTACACCAAAGGGTATTGGCAGAACATGGAGACAAACATTTAATTCTTATCTGTATCCTTTGTGAAAATACAGCAAAAATGTTTCTAAGGCTTCATTAAAGGAGGGTTTTACTTGGACACTTAGAATTTAGACTTAGCCCCTAGTAGAGGTGGTATGAATGAAGTGGTAGATGGAATTCCTTTCCTGTTTGAACAATTCCAGGCTCATTGCTTGCCTAATGAGAAGTTAGCAGAAACTAAAAGTAGAAATGTCTTAAATTTCCACTATATTTCAGTCTCTTTTTGGTGGAATAAGATATTCTGAGTATTTCTTGTTTTTCCTGTGGTTTCTTCTTTTAAATATGGTGACAGTATATTTTATGTAGGACATGTAATATGTATTAATTGTGGGATTACAACAACTAATCATTTACAATTAAAATATAAGTGGAAGTTAGTTTTCCTTTTGCCTAATTTAAATGTGTGTGGGCTATTTTTTTGGATACATGACTTTTCCCTTTACATAAATAAGGTTCTATGACTTACTTCACAGATATTGTTCATTAGAGCCAGTCAGATTTTTCCGTACAACATGCCCTCAGAAGAAGGCCTCAATAATGCAAGGGTTATTCTCAACATCCTGTTTGGAAGTACCTTTTTTTTCTACTTTAGCCCCCTGAAACTATCTCCTGAGTGAGTACAGTGACTGAGAAGGCTTACACAATTCTTGTCTTTTTTCCCCTCTTAGTGGTCACCTCATCTTCCTGGGCTCCCCACAGCCACACACCACACACCACTTTCTCTCACTTGGTTCATGTTGGAGACATTCCCTATTTCAAAACCACATCAGAACCCTTCCTCCTACCCAAGATGTACATTTTCTTTGTAGATTTGGAGTCTGTCAAAATTAGGGTTCCCAAAGAAGCAGCTCATTGCTTACACCTTCCTCTCAGAATCTATTGCAATTTTAGCAGCAGCCTGATGGGCCAGGCTGTCAGTCATTGAAAGGACTTACTGAATCCCAAGTTCCATGGGCCACTGCAGGTGTGCGTGTCTGTGTGAGCGTCTGTACTAAACAACTAAAGCAGCGCAAAACCAAGAGTTGCTTACCTCTGGTACAGAGATGTCCCTGCGTTACTCTTGGACTTTTGGATGGGGAGCATCCAAAGTTCCGCCCTCACTATTCAGTGTGATCTGCCCGGGGCTGGAACCCCTGGGTCTCCTGGGAGCTTACTTACATATACAGAATTCAGGCCCCACTCCAGACCTAAATTAGAATCAAGACTCCTGGCTGTGGTTCACTTGCGCTCTAAGGTGCAGGTGTGCTCACCCTGGGACGCCTTGGTTTTCCTCGAGTGAGTACAAATGCTAGGCTGAGCCTGGGCGGAGGAGTCACTGCGTTTAGTGCTGATAAAGGGAGTGCCCGTTTATCTCCTAATCCGGTTCCTTAAAAACGGCAGTGCCCTCTAACCGCTTTCTCTTCTTTAGCACCTCGGTTCATCATTCTTCACTTAAAAAAAAAAAGTCGATTCAAGGTGCTAGGAAAGACAGCCTCAAAAAAGCGCCCAGGCGGAGCCTTACTCTCGCTACACAGTCGAGGCCCTGCGTCCCGCTGAGGAAGGAGGGTAACTTGGGGAGCAGTGGAGAGGGGAGACACTGGGGGACAAAGACCTTAATGAGAGAAGGGAGGGAAAAACAAGAGTAGCCAAAACCGAGCAAAAGCCTCTCGTGAAAAATGGCGGTGGAAGGTAAAGGGCTGTAAAGCAAGTGTCAAATAGTGTCACAACCACTGTCCCCAACCCCGCGCCCCAGCGCCTCCACAGCCAAGGCCCTGCTTGTTTATCGAGCTTCCAGGCAAGGAGCCGAGATGCGCTTCCGAATGGAAGCCGCGTCCGGCTGTGTGTCTCCCGGAAAAGCGTCTCGCTCGAGCCTGAGACATCTGGTCATCAGCCCCCGGCCCCGGGCC